AAAAGTGTATTAATATTTAAAATTAAATGTGTTCTCGAATAAAACGAACCACAGCGCAATTTGCAAAGTTAGTAAATTTGATTGTCGTTTTTCTGTTATAGCAAGTCACACACGCGCGAACACACACACAAATATATATATATATATATAATACCTGCGTGTATGTTTTAGACAATAACACATGAGAGGTAACTGTGCTGCGATGTTAATATTTTTGAGCAGCAGTATACACACAGGCTTATAATGACTGGCCAGATTGTTAGCTTCAATACTATCAGTTATATACTAAAAGAATACGAACAGGACCTGGGTAATTCTATGTAAATTACTGTACAGGTTTATGTACTTGTTGGTATTCGCTATTTTTATATTCATTTGTATTCACATATTTGTTATTACTGAAAATTAATAACTTAGAAACGTATTTTGCCGTAAAACCTTCAGAGGAAATAAGTAATTATATATTCATTTATAAACTCTACACTGGCATTAGCGTGGTTAATCCTCGTAATAGGCCAGGTAAAAACAACTATCGCAACCAAAGAAATCAACATGTTAACGTGCCTATTCCATACTTATAAACTTGTGTCCCTTAGATCGTATCTTGTCGAAATTACTCCAATATTTTCAATGACGCTTTTGTTTGTTTGTAATTAACTACAAAGCTACACAAAGGGCTATCTGTGCTCTACCCACAATGGGTATCGAAACCCGCTTTCTAGCGTTGTAAGTCCGCAGACATACCGCTGTGCCACTGAGGGGCCCACATTTTATTGAAACCAGATGTTTCGACATATTTGTTTTTCGTGAGTTCGCAGCTTCACAAACTACAGGTACTGTTTGATGTTTATTGAAAGTAACACAATAGTATAACAATATTTATTTACGGTATGGTCATTAACACAATAACAATTGTATGAGGAAACGGGCAACGTGAAACGGTGCTATGAAACCAGGCTTAAGTGCTCTATTGGAGCGTCAATGCCTCCCGGTGGAACAGCGGTAAGTTTACGAAGTTACAACGCTAAAATCCGGGGTTCGATTCCCTGCAGTAGACAGAAACAATGGAGTGTAACAAATAAATATTTTCGAATAATTTTGAAAAAAAACACCTTTAATTACATATGAGGACTAGGAGGTTTTAGGTTACTTAAGATAGATTTGGGAAACTTTTCAAAGTAGCTTACTTGTATAAAAATTCAAAAAAGAGGTAGGAACGTATAGAGATATAATAGGATTTTTAACGTATAGAGATATAATAGGATTTTTAACGTATAGAGATATAATAGGATTTTTAACGTATAGAGATATAATAGGATTAGGAACGTATAGAGGTATAATAGGATTTTTAACGTGTAATTACAGCACTGATACTCCTATTGCATTCAGAAATATATACCTGTCTAATATATATATGTAGTCGTAGAAATATTTAAATATAATATTCCGTATTCGTAATTTCAATCTAACATGGGTTAAACGGTGGGGTCAAAGATTCGTAGACAGTCCCGAACTTTGAACTGTCGACCAACCAGTAATACACAACATCACAAGAGCTTCGATTGGTCTTGATTCGAATAACGGGATTAACTGTCACGTTATTCTTATAGCTTACCCACAACTGAAAGCGTACAGCGGTCTTTCAACGGAAACTATGGACCTTCTGATTCGCAGCCTGGCACGCCAAACTCTAGGCTACCTTCGTCCCAAATATCATATTAAAAATAAAATATATTTTGTCAATTCAACTTTCAAGTCTAGGAAAATTCTTATCATTAATGTTATATTTGATAAGATAACGTATTTTAAGTACTTTCAGAAATGATATGAACTTGGAAACGTAGATATACGAGTAGCATATAACCTACTATGCATGTATTAAAATGCCCTTAATTAATATTCACACATTACAGATTCGCTCTAGGACCAAGGAGCTATGTTATTATAAGTTGTCATGAACGATTTTAACAAAACTATAGATCTTATAGCTGTAGTGACGTGCCGTGTTGTTTACATGAAGGGTGAACGTGGTTTGTTGATTACTGTAGGACTCTCTCTCTCTCTAATCAAGATGGTAATGAGTGTTACTAAATTATCCTAAAGTTACTTACCTCGAATCAGTTACTTGGACTCAGCAGTTTTGTTTCGTATGCAAAATTTGCTAACGAACGTTTCTTTTTTTTCTTGTGAGGATTTGATTTACTCTTATTACGCGCACATTCATAAACTACAAACAAAATTGTCAGTAGGCACATCTGTCTAATTTAAGCTGAATACACAAAGAAAAAAAATAAACAGTACTGTGTGTTACTCAACGAGTGTAGCATCTGTTAGCACATCTTCCAATACTTAGTTGCTAATGGTTCTCGCTAACAATTTCTAAGGCTAGAAGCTTATCGTCGGTCAGATCAACGATAGAATTCCATGAATAATATTACAATTTCATATGGGGATTCCGAACTTGTTAACCTTTCTTTTGTACAATCTACATTTAAAACAAAGAAACAAAAATAGCAAATACATTGTTATTAATCAAGGAAGCTCTTATTAAGAAGAGTAATGGAACCCCAATTCTATTTGTTCATGTCTCATTAGCCTAGATGAAACTACAAACCATCACCAAAATCGAACGCGCCTTGAAGTTTAATTATGGTAATTAATAATCCAGACTTAAAAGTTTCTTCACATAAAAAGAATGATTAGAGGAACACCTACAACACAATTGTTTCTGCTTTCAATATAATTGTTTGACCTAGTTTTGTTTAATTTTATAGTTATAGATCTCAACTTTACACGTATTTATCGAGAAGTATGGAACATTTTATAGGTTTTTCGGCTTTCATTCAGAATTACTTGATAAAACACTTCAAGTCTGACGTTGTATATGGAACTGCAATACAAGCGTCTTGTTATTTCAAAAATGGAGACATGAGGCCTTATATAAGAACTAAGTGTCATTAACTGGAAATAAAAATAACGAAAGTTTAATTTTCAACTTAAGCACCCAATAAAATCAACTTTTAAGGGTTTAACTAAACAGTTCGCTGTAGTTAAAGGGAATTAAAATAACACAACGCGGACGTAAAAGAAACATGTATTATTTTTATATATTAATGGAAATACACAATTCACCAGTTGCAAGTTTTCATATAGTTTTCGATGGGAAACATCAGTACAGCTTGTATCACATGAAGTGCTTTGTGTCCTGAGCAAACATCGTTAATCAGTATATTATAGTCTTACACGAAAGCCTACCTTAGATACTCACCACTTTAAATACTCGTAAATCTGTTCAACTTCCAACGTGTACAAGTACCCAATTTATATGTATAAAAGTCAATATGTTTTGGAAGCGGTTTTCTCAGCTAGATAAACTTTCTAGTTTGTTAAGAGCGCGTTGTCGTTTATTCAGCTGTCCAAAACCAAGTTAATCGACTGGTGTAGCACGGACTATATTTGTCTAAGAAATAGAATCTCTTTGACTTTAGCTTCTATTTTGTGCTTCATCGTCCTTTACAACACAAATTCTAAACGTTCGCGCGCGCCATGGCGTCACTCCAAAATAAGCCCTCCAGTGGCTCAGCGGTAAGTCTTAAGGCTTATAACGCTAACAACCGTGCTTCAATACCTGTCGTGGACACAGATAGCACACTGTGTAGCTGATGTTTCAGTTTTTCTGGCAGATAACTTTTTTAGAACTAATAGACAATGAAAAATAAAACTCCATATAATATAAGTACAGTTATGGTTTGTTTGTTGTTAAATACAAAGTTACACAATGGGCTATCTGTACTGTGCTCACCACGGGTATCGAAACCCGGTTTCTAGTGTTGTAAGTCCGCACACATACCGCTGTGCCACTGGGGAGGGGACACTCTGAACAGATTGTTTGTTTGTTTGTAATTAAGCACAAAGTTACACAATGGGCTATCTATACTGTGCTCACCACGAGTATCGAAACCAGGTTCTTAGCGTTATAAGCCTTCAGACTTACCGCTGAGCCACTGGCAAAAATTGCTCAAAAAGAAAAATGAGGAAAAAACCTTATCGTATGTTTACATATAAACTATCCTGAAATATTTCATATCAATCTTATTGTCCATAAATAAAATATAAATATTTGGCATTGCAGTGACTCTACCTAGGCAACACGGGGAGTTATTTACTTTGTTTGGAAGTCTAGTGGTGTTTTCGTTTTTGCATCTCAGGTTCTTGACGTCCTGATAGCAGAGTGTTCATGAAAGTAAACTCCAACACACATTCATGTCACTTCGATCCCGTTTTATTTTTCTATTTTATAATTAATCAGACGAAACATTTTAAATAAAACAACGTGATCTGTTAAACATAACTGACTTCAACTTCAATTAACTTCAACTAATATCAATCATAAACTCCTATATTTAGTTTAATTCAGGTTTTAACCAAACATTAACCAAATCAGCCCATATTAACTGAACTTATAATGAATTATAGTTACAACGTTTTTTTGTAATTAAGCGCAACGCTACTATATGGGCTATCTGTGCTGTGCCCACAACAGGTGTCGAAACACGGTTGTTAGCGTTATAGTCCTTAAGATTTACCACTGGGCTACTGGAGGGTTTATAGTTACGTTGAAATCAAGGGGAACAAAAAACCAATATTTTTCAAAATCGTTGAACTTGTATGCAAAAGACATCGATTCCTAGATGATCCAGTTAGCGTAAAATCCCTAAATCAGGGCAAGTTAATTTACGTAGTTTATGAACAAAAATTGCGCTTCTCGAAGTTCAATTATAGAATGATGTATTTCTATTAATTGTGTAATTCATCTATTTATTTTTACGAGAATAACGTGATTTATTTGTTCGACCTACAGAATTAAACCCGATGATTGTGCAGTAGATGTTGCGTGATTTTCAAGAATACGCCAAATCGCAATTGGAATTAAACGAAAAGAACAAGAAAAAGGTATACAGAGAAGTTAGCCACTTTTGACGCTGTGCGTTCCGGCAGTAAATAATCTCTGGGATCTCCTGCGTGTTGTGGACCGAGAAGAAGTTAACATGGTCATCCTGTTAGTGCGCTGGAATTGATCACTGGTTTCTAGTACTGGTCAATGTAAGAGATGAAACCGTATTAGCTCCAGGTTATTGATCATGATAGCGTGTTTTCGTCAAGTGATCTACCCTTTTAGCGGCTTTCCGATAAAATCAATCAATCAATTAAAAAGAATTGGATGAAAACAAGTTTACCAGTTTCGTCTTACGCCAGAATTTTAGAAGGCCTAAGTTTTTAGGTTTATTTTCGTTTTGCGGGCATTAGATTGAAATAGACATAGGTATACAAAACTCTGCGATTTTTTTCTTTCTATCTTATTTTCAAGAGGGACACAAACTTTACGAAAATTAAATATTCTAGCGCAATATTAAAACTACATAATTAGCAGAATTGCGTATTATTTTATTTACTATGTAAATGTCCACTTTCATGTCATGTTTAGCAAAATAAAGAAAAAACAAGAGGAAATCCTCAATACCCGCGGCTGTAATTAGATCTCAGATCGGTCAAGAGATGGAGCTATGAGCTAAAAGTTTGTACTTGAAAAAACAAACAAAAAAACTCAGAGCCAATCTATGAGTCGTTATGCCGCGGCTAAAAACTCAGACCCATTCTATGATTCGGTTTTTATTGTTTCAGCCCTGAAAATTCACGTCAGTCCGAAAACGAAAGAAATACTTGATTTGTTTGGAACTTTCACTTTGGAACTGAGAGGAGAAGTAGAAATGAAGGTGAGAAATTCTTGAATAACTGACTGAAATATAAATAGGATAGGCCTTAAGTTTACGTATAATAAAGCCACTAGTTTAGATTTGAAGTTATTATTTTTTTCAGGAATTAAATAAGCATGCCACAAACTGATCTCTGTTTATATGTCTCATTGTGTCGAGATACAGATAAGAATAAGAATGGTAAATATTGATAGGGTATTTCGCTTGAAAAAAGTAGTGAATTATGTTATTGAGGAGAGGTTACGTTTTATCAAGTTTTTAACCTCATTATGAAGTATATATTGTTTTTAATTAAGCATAAAGCTACACAGTGGGCCATCTGTGCTCTGCCCACCATGGGGTGGGGGGCTGACGTATATATATATATATGTACGTATTTTTAACTATTTTCGTCCATGCTTCAAAGCTGGTACCGTTTGTAATATGCGTCCGATGTTTAAAATAGTGCATATAACTGTAAATATTGTTGAATGTTATATTGGATTTTATTTTCAAATAACAGTATTCTCAAAACTCTTCCTTTATCACAAGAAGTTCAACATCTTTATAGTTTATTCCCTGTTTCATTTTCAGACCATATCCATGAATCTACTTCGAGTGTCGAAAAAAGTGTGTGTGAATACTATTGTCAGTATTATTGATTTTTTGTATTGAATTTTTATTACCAATGTCGTGTTTTCAAATGTCAACTTTTCCAAATCTTCCACACCACAAAATAATATAACATTTCTACGTGTTCTGTTTTTAAATAGTTCATTTCTTACTTCATTGTTAGTACCACGTGGAATCTAAGTCCAATTTATATAAAAGTTAGTGTATGTAGAATATCATTTTCATATGTGATTTCGTTCTCATTGTTTATGTCAGAAAAGCTACTAGCCTGGGTAGCTTTAGAAATAACAAGTAGCTACAGTATCTTGTTGATATTTGGTCACATGAGTATATATATATATATGCTCCTGTGTAGTGTTTACATGCATGATCTCATGAGCAAAACGTCCAAAAGCATTTGTTCATCAAAACACACATACACACCTGTTTTGTGCTTTTGGTATAATCTTTTTCGAAACAGATCAACGCTTTGTTCAGAGAATTTCTCTGTAGTTGGTGTAAATTCATGTCTCGCCACGAGCCAGAAGTTATAGGGCATCAAATTGTTCGAAATGGTGTGATGCAAACGGATATTGCCAGAACAGTAGGGTACCCCCAGTGTACTGTATATAGAATCCTGAAACGTTGCTCCAGTGTTCTGAGCAGGTTAACGCATCCAGTTCGAAGGAAGTCTTGCAACACCTTACGACAGGAATGGCATGAACACATTCATTCCCGGGTATACAGAAGAACAGTTAATAGGAGACTGACCAAACAAAGTTATTTTGCAAGTAGGGCTATCTGTAAACTGATATTAACCAAAATTAACCGCCGTCACTATGTTACTTGGACGAGACAGCATGCCAACTTACAGTTAGGACACTGGCGATATATAATTTTTTCGATGAATCCTATTTCAGGCTTGTTAAAGTTGATGGAAGGATTCGTGTTCGTCGTTTACCTAGAGAACAGATGAGGGCAGATTGTCTTTCCTACAGGAAACACGCAAGAGGTGGTGCAGTATATGTCTGGGCAGCTATTCTTCATGGTGGAAAAACTGCTCTTCATATTCTCCAGAGAAACGTCAATGGCACCTCCTACAGGCATTACGTACCATATGCTTGGGTAAGGTTTGGCAGTAACTTTGTAGGATGACAATGTCGCTGCCCAAAGTGCACGTATTGTAAAAGATTATCAAAACCAGGAAGACGTTACAATATTACAACGGCCAGCAAAGTGTCCAGATTGTAATCCCATTGAGATCTGTTGGACAGAACTTAGGAGGAAAATTGCTAACCACGACTCTAAACCAGGTATTATAGCTGAGTTCCAGTGCTTTTTAGTGAGAATTTTGGATGAAGTCACGGTGGATTAGATCAATAACCTCATCGACAGCATGCCACGTTGCCTTGCAGAGGTTATCAGAGTACTAGGAGGACCAACCAAGTACTGAATGTTTAATATGAACTAATATAAGGTTACAGACACTATTTATAATAATTTGATGCTATATTTTGTCATTATATATGTTTTGGTAAGGTTTTGTTGTAATAGGTGAAATGATGAATTGTACATCTTTCTACAGGTGTCTGATAAAATTATTTACTGTTCTAATAAATCGTTCATGATGTCCATAGAACCTGTATCATTATACAAATTGCATATGTAGATGTTTAATATAACATGCATTTCTCAGTATGACAGCACTAAGTGTATTTGTATTCCATCCTAATAACAATGATCTTATTTGTTACAAAATATGCAAACATTTTGGAGTAGATTGTATTTAAGAGTATACATTGTATTTAACTGATTTGGTCAATTGCTTAGATCTTGAGTAATGCAGTTAATTTTAGAATTTTGTGTTTATAATGATACTAATATTGTTACGTGAAGAGTAGTAAACTCACAATGATGAATAAAACTTTATTGGGATCACATAGATAGTATTGTGTATTAGTTCTCAACAACCTTTTATCTAATTCAATTGTACGAAATGTGGATCAGTAGAATTTCATGGTTGAGGATGTTTGTTTTGTGTATCGTTGTTGGTTGTACACTAACTATTACTTTAATTTTACAAATTAAAAATATCAACTTCGATATATATAAGCCAAAATTACACCGTTCATAATAATTACAAAACAAGGGGAATCCTCAATAGCCGCGGCTGTAATTATATCTCAAATCGATCAAGAGATGGAGCTATAAAGCTAAAATTTTCTAAAAAAAATAACAACAACAACAAAACAATTCAGAGTCATTCTATGAGCCACGGTGTCTTGGCTAAAAAAACAAAAACAAAACAAATTTCTAGCAAATGACAAAACAAAAATTCAACTCTAAATTAGTTGTGAGTTGACTTAAGTGACCTAAAAAAAAAGACTGATAAGTTACTAGAGGGAGACCGAGATAAAAATGTTCGCATTAAACAAGAAATAATTAAAAGGTTTAGGCATTACATGAGCGCCAAAAAAACTATTGAAAATGTTTTGTTGAAAATGCTGGTTGTTAGTAAATAACGAAACATTTTGGATCATTGCTATAACGAACTTTTACATATCTTATAGGGAAAGGGGAAGATTACAACGTATTGGTTAGTGGAAGAGGTCAGTACGCCTTCAGTTTCCAACTTCACCAAGGACTCATCTCTAACGCAGCTCAAGGAAGTAAATATCTGAAAGCTGAATATCCGGTATTTGGTCAAGACGAAGAACTTTTTTTTGCATAGAACACACATGAGTATGAAAGAAAGCAAGTGTGAAAATGTAAAGGTCAAAAATTAATGCATAAAACAAAATATGAAAATACAAACCAATGCGTAACAAAATAATTAATTTAACCATGATACACTTCAGTTATTATTTCGTGCAACCCGTTTATGATGTTGTGATTACCCCAAAATATTTAGTTGGAAGATCCATGAGTTATTTACCTAAATGAACTAAATTTTAGCTTGAATATTATGAAATTTTGTAAGTTATTAGGCTAAAAGAAGGAAAACGTTTTGTGTGTATCTTGTTTCGCTATAGTACGTAGTTGCGGAATTTCCAGAATTCCACATTTGTGCGTTTTCAATACGTTATGTAAATAAATAATGGTTTTATGTGAGAAATCTGCTGTAGAGCTGAAGGATTCCTTTAGGTGTTATTTTAGGTGTTATCCTCTAGGTGTTACTCAAAAAATTTTAGCAACTACGATCATCCTCATTTCAGTTGCAGATAAAGTACAGAAAATTAGCTATGTTGTTATTGGACTAAAGCAACAATTTACTGGTACGATACTTAACACTAGTGGTCGTTTATTGTTTTGTAATTCTGTGTCTTTCTTCGTCAACAATAAAAAGTCATGATTATCCAGCTAAGTTTGTATAGATTTTTAAGTTGACTTCAAACTACACGAAATGTTTCTCAGTTAAACGTTCTGATATAATTTTGTTTTGATTTCAAACAATCTACTTAAATCCCAGCTTACCGAGGTAACAACTACCAACAATCATTACAAACTAAGATATATTCCCAGCAACATACGCCCACTGTACAAAACCAAAGAGATTGTTGTAACTAATGACGTTATCATTTAGATCACCTTGTGGCAATAAATTATATAAATGTAATACTAGAGTGTCATAGAACACGTCGGTTATGGCTGTATCTAGATTGTAAAAAGAACAAACATAATTTTGTGTGTGTGAAGAAAACCCATCCGACCTTCTTAGAATTATATCATATCAAAGTATATTCCGGAAATTTTCTGTTTTATATCACACTAACCTTTATTAAGATAACTAGCGTATATCCCGCCAAAAATGACTGGACAAGGACTACCACCCACACTCCATAGTATACCCTAACCTCACACTTCGTAGCTAAATTAAATAAATAAATTTTGCGAAATCAAACTTGACCAACAAAAAAAAAAAAAAAAAGCAAGAAAAGTGCAGCCAAGGCAGTCAAACGTCGGTAAATTCTTT